TATATATACAAGGATATGTATATATATCAATATTGCCGTGGAAGATTTTAAACATTTAATCGATAAGTTAGTCAATCGACTGTCACTGAAATATTTTAACATTTAATCTATCAGAATAGTTTAGTTAATTAACAAATATACGATGAAAATAAACGTATAGTTTTGGTCCACAAATGGATCTCAAAAATTATCACTCATTATTCTTATCCGGGCATAAAAACCTTGTTTGGCCGACCATCATACACAGTTCGTGACCCACAGAAGTGCGAAACCCGACTACGTAACACGCTGAACTATGTTCGCCGTTACCAGTAAGGCGTCAATTGCAGCCGACATAGCTCGTTTTACTTCTGCTTCGTTGAATACTCTCACTTATACGAAATCCTCGTTGGACGTTCCGTCTGACATTATTTATTCGCTTACCGACTATATCCAGTTGTTCCATATACAAGAAACGTATATTCCTATAGATTCTCTTAGTGATGATTCAAGCAATCGTTGAAATGGGACATGAAGCATTTATTCTCGTCTCTAAGAAATTATTACGAATAATCATGAGATTTATTTAAATGAATATTCCTAATCATCATAACTATGAAGGTGTATCAAGTGTTATGTCGGTTATACACTAGTAGCATTTGTCGAGTTACTTACTTTTCATTTGTTTTCAAACGTCACATTCATCTTTCATCCAGAGATTTTCAAAGAATGTATATTGAAAAGATTTCCTACAGATATTCAGTGTTCTTGTGTTCTTGATAAATACAATGATAAGTACAATAAACTTTATAAGTATATGTGAACATTTCAGAATATCACATTACAACTTGCGTTACAACATAGGTGTACAGATTGTTGGGAATACAACTGCTTACTGAATGTAAATAAGTAGTATAAGACAATAGAGAAAATAGTGGAAATGGAACGAGTAGGAACTATATACGACAAACTTAACAGTGATGCGATTGACTTTGTTAATTGGTTGATTTAGTCAGAATCCAAGAGTCGAGATAAATACTTGACTTTTAACGTATAAACAATCTGAAATACAGTCAACACATCACACAATATAAATGTATATCGAGGAGATTGTAAATGGTGACCTGAAAAGAAATTTGGAATGATGAATAGGGCAACAGTAACTAAGGTTTCAGACATCAACAAAAGGAATATATATATATATATATATATATATATATATATATATATATTCATAGTAATCAAGTTACGCCATAGTTACAAAATATGAATACATACTATCGATTTGGAAGTTGTTAATTCAAAATATCTGTAGGAACTTTTATTTAATCGATTGCCCGCTGATTTGGAATTCCAAGTGCAAAACATCCACTTGTGTTCAGCTGTTTATGTCTGAATCAAGATGCATTTTTTCAAGAATTCCTAGTTAGAACAATTATTTGAATGATACTTATTATCATATAGGCGTTGCGATGAATCCTGTACTTGAACATTTGAATGTACGTGCAAATTCTTACCTTTCGATGATCATGTGTGATGGTTTGAAATTTTAAGTATGATCAGGAAACATGTTAAAGCTGGTAAAATTGTGGCTCATTTCCCTTCATTCATCGGAAAGAATGTCTACAATTTATTAAAACTTTGACATTTCCAGATAAAACAATTTCACTTCTCTATGTAATTCTCAAAATACGTCTGTTAAACTATTCACAGAGTACCAATTTCGAATGCCATCAAGTATCAAGACTTCATTAAACCATTCGCCTGGACATCAGGAATTTCACTTCATTACTCAGTTATCTTAATCCAATGCGTACTCACTGTCAGACAGATAAAGACTCACTGAGGAATTTCAAAGCATATCACATAGGTGAGTACGTGTTTGCTGAATGTTTATCCTGTGATAAATTTTATTTACGTAAATCATGTGAATTTCGTCATGCTAAATGTTTCAAATGTGGTGAAATTGGACGAATCCAGTCAGTCTGTTGAACTACTGTTCATTTCGCTACTGATCATAAATCATATATTTCAGACTCTAATAAAAATTCTGTGTTTCTATTGACCATGTAGTGGCATTGTGTCTTAACCACAAAACACTCAAAGCTGAACACGAGACAACAGGGAAAATAGATATTCAACACTCAATGCGGAGAAAAACACAACGATGGTGAAGACTTGAAAAATGAATTCAGTTAATTCAAATCCATCGGATGTCATGGCTCGGCATTTCAGATGTAACTTGTATTCATATCAAGTATATTTTCCAATTTCCAATCTAAATTTGTACCTTGTCAAACATTTTTGATAGTGAGGATACGATGGGTCAGTGTAGACAATGGTGTGACTTCCTCGTAATATCTCATACATTAGGCAGATACATCACAACAAATCTACAATCTTAAGATTAAGTCAATTATTAGAGTAATATTAATGATGAAGTAGACAATAATTTTTCTACCATTTATCCTTATCCACCATTTCGGAAGTCAGTGTCCATATTCAAAGAGACTTTGTAACTCCCTCGATTCGTGACATGACTTTATTGTTGACCCAGTCAATTAAGAGTACTGAGATATGGTTCTCTACTGCCAGTGTTAACAATCAAGTTAAAGGAATTCATGATAAAGTTAAAGTCTCTGAAACTGAATTCCAGCAAAAACTGGAAGGACTCGTATTCAGAAAATAACTGTGTAGTGTTAGTCATAAGTTTTAGCCCATAGTATATCTTATTCTAGTTTTCGGACATTTCATTCCATTTTAGTGGCCCGTGGATCTGACTCCAATTTAGATCGTATAAATGATTGTTATCGCCTATTCTCGTATATAATCGTCGACTTAAATCACGTTATCCAATAACGGAATTAAATAAGCCAAATAACGAGAGTGGGATGTTGAATACATGTATTTCGTATGTAAAGCGAACGTGATAGAACAGAACAAAAATGACACGCACGGAAGATGGCTGGAAAGCCAACTCCATTTCAAGCCAGGCATTACTCAATATTTATAGTCAGACAAAATAAACAACAGACATGTGATGAGTCATGGGACATGAAGTGTACACACATATACGCTCATACAAAAACAATCAAGACTGCCAAGCGAATAATTGACAAGGTCAAAATATGGCTTAAGCAGAATGAATAGAATGAAATGTCCGAAAACAAGAATAAGATATATTATGGGCTAAAACTAACACTACAACTGGACCAACACGACAAATGCAAGTCTATCAACTGATAATAAGAAGCACTTTGAGAGAGTAGCTTCTAATGAATTAACTTGTAATATATATATCATGTACTAGTCCAGTGAGGAAATACAAACATTGGTATATCATAATGAATTCATAGGTAACGATTCATACTAGGTTATGTATTTAAAGTATTAACAATAAAAACTAGTGTAACTTCTTCACAAATTATTGCTGTTTATTTGTACAACAACGAGAGTAAAGAGATTAGGATCTTCAAGTAAGACAACTTACATGTACATGTCTGAAAATTAGGTAATGCACTATTTTGTGTAGAGAAATTTCATTGATACACACAAAAATCACTCCCATCCTTCTATTTCATTGTGACTTACACTCACCTCTGTGAAATCGAATGACTGTTGCCATTACTCATTATACATAGACTTTTGTGTTTTACACAATGTTCTTGTTCATAATGAATGTCGTTGTGATTATTGTAGTGATTATGAAAACAACTACGACACAACAATTCTTAACTATCATTCAGTTGAGTTTGGTGTCGACCGTTCAATTTTCACATCATAAATATGGAGTTGAACACGGAGAGTCCAGTATCGGAAGCTGGTAAATATTGGATATTATTTTAGTATTAAAGACTTTGCATTCAATATTAAATGAATGATGTTGATAATTGTTTCATAGTAATATCCACAAGAACACTGAATATCTGTAGGAAATCTCTTCAATATACATTCTTTGAAAATCTCTGGATGAAAGATGAATACAACGATTTAAAATTAATGAAAAGTAAGTAACTCGACAAATGCTACTACTGTATAACCGACATACCACTGAAACACCTTCATAGTTATAATGATTAGGAATATTCATTTAAATAAATCTCATGATTATTCGTAATCATTTCTTAGAGACGAGAATAAATGCTTCATGTCCCATTTCAACGATTTCTTGAATCATCACTAAGAGAATCTATAGGAATATACGTTTCTTGTATATGGAACAACTGGATGTAGTCGGTAAGTGAATAATTATGGTCAAAATTTATTATAACAATTCACAGTCTCATCATTATTGGTAAAAGTCTTTGTTAAAGATTGATTTATACCATTAATTTGGTGTTGGACCATTGAAATTCATTCACTTACTGACTAATATCGAGTGAATACTATGTAGCATTTCAAATCGAAACTCTTCCACTAGATCTTATTACGATAATGGTTACTGTATAATAGAGATTTGTTAACGATTGTCAATTCAAATAAATCTCATATATGGTATATACACACATGAAATCCGAAAATTAACAAATTTGATCTTCAAAAAATGGGTGAGACATTGAACTGGATTTCTCAATGTCAAAGGAGAAATGGAAGACCGAATCAACACATTACTCCGAGAAATGGAGGTAGACATGGGAAAAATGAATAATAATCGGATCAAAGTAGAATGAAAGAACAAGAACGAAGCGAGTCGGAGAATGCAGATCGATGACCTATGTTCTATTGATAGTAACAGGCGCAGAATTCCAGTTTTATGCACGACGTCACACTCTATTAACAGTCCAACAGAAACTACCATCAATTTTTGGTTCCAAAGAGAATAACATCCAAATGTTCACATTGCAAATCACATGTGGTGAGGGGCTACAATCCTTATGGGTTATGGTTTCACAATCAAGTATACGTCAATGACCAGATTCGAACAGACTAACTCATTATCGAGAGTGAACTGAACGACCAACGAAGATTTCGTATAAGCGTGAGTATTCAACGAAGCGGAAGAAAAACGATCTATGTCGGCTATAATCAATGCCTTACTGTTAACGGCGAACATAGTACAGCGTGTTAAGTAGTCGAGTTTTGCACTTCAGTAGGTCACAAACAATGTGAATGATGGTCGACCAAACAACGTTCAAACAGATTAACTACATTATATCCGACGACGTGACGAGCCGATGTTTGCCAACTACTAATCATTGTTTGGAACCTCTCAGAATACTGATTTCATGAGTTCATATGCATATATTTAGTTAAGAGCACACAATATTTATAAGCGTATTATATTCATTGATTAGCATCGACAAGATTTCGTCCCATTGTTCGATTTATTGGTATATTAAACCGTTTCATTTTTCTTATAAACACACTTTTGAATGGAGGAAATCCTTCTCAATCCGGATTTCTTGAAGTCATCAATACAGGCACCATGTCCAATAGCAGTGTCCTTACCAGAGTAGTTGACGCCTCTGTGAACAAATATGAAATGAAAAGTGACACAAATGTTTGAATATCCATCTTAAGTGTCCACTTACAAGCAAATTAGAACGTGCATGAAACAGGAAAAACATATACATTAATAATAATCATAAAAATGAATCGATCTGGAAACGTACACATTCGTGCCATTGTGCGATCGTTCATAATACTTGCATGAAACTGAGTGATTTATCAATGTGTATGACAATAATGCAATGAGAAACATCGAATCAGCTGACATTGCTTTTTCGTTTTGTTCTTGAAATGAATTAGTCGATTGACGCATTTATATAGTTTTCAGTAGATGTGAGATTTCAATGAATCGCTTAATCCACAGTGGATATGTGATTGTCATGATTTGTGCGCAATTATCAGGGTCAAAAGTTCAGAAGAGAATTGAATGATCATTGTGATGGTTGTGACGGTTACTTCACACGTCACGTGACTATGTTTGTATTGTTCGCCATGCAGCTTGATGAAGTTGTTTGAGAATCAGTATCATGTCAATTGAAACATGGATAATATACACACTTTTTATTGTTCACAAATGATCGTTGCGTGAGTCTATCTATGAGTGGTGACTGGATGACCCTCCAGATGCTACTTCGTCTATAACAGTATAGTATTGTCAGAATATATCTGTTTTATAAAATTTCGATTACACACATATTTTATGAAACCGAATGAATAATGTATTGTGGTGTGTGATACTTGTAATGATATAAGTAGTATATGACACGAGTTAAAAACGCAATGTCTGGCAGCAGAAGATGGGGAAAGATCTAGAAAGGAAGAGAAATGTGACACAATGGATTGATGTTTACTACGCGAACAGTATAGGTTGATATGATGGATTGATATTTTGCAAATTAACGGTTTACTATATGGTTTTTCTATTTTATCGAGTAACTCTGTAATTTTGTGCTAAAATGCATTCGATTGATCCCATCCGTGTTCTGTTCACTACATTTGTTGTCGCTGCCAACTAGGAGAGGGTGAGGGTTTTGTTCTACGGGTGCCATTGCGGGCCTTGTGCTAAGGTGTTAGTTGTGGCAGTCTGGTCTGAAGAGGTGGCGTCGAGTGGAGTGTTCTGGCGAGGCGGCGTTGGCTGTAGCGGTGCTGTCGACGTAGAGAAGCGGTGGGACATGCGTCTGATGGGTGTACATTGTATGTAGATGGCTCAGCAGTCCATTGGAGCACGGGTGTTTAGCGTCCTAGGTGCCGGGTGGATGCTGGATGTTGTTGCCCTGGCAGGTAGAGGGAGCTATGGAAAAAGGGTTTTTCATACGCTTATAAATCTTGTGTGCTCTTAACTAAATATATGCATATGAACTCATGAAATTGGTATTCTGAAAGGTGAAAGGATGACAGGCATATGGTGTGCTTGATAATTCGAAAGATCATATTTGCATTGTTGTACGTAGAATCGAAATGATCACATTAACATTACTGATGCGAATCGCATATGCATAGGTGTCCATAATGTGACGCGAGAAAGCTACTTTCATCAAAAATAAGATGTGAAATAACACAGTCATTCATTTCAGCACAGCCATTCATTATCCAGTTACATTTGTGGGCCTACATTACTTATCTATTAATGTGCAGATTGATTGATTTAGTAATGCTCCAATGATAACGAATGTTTCAAAGCACCAACTATACCTCACGGCGTTTTAGAGATGAATGGTTGCTGAATATTTAGACGAAATCTGTCATAATACACAAAATAACCTAAGTAAGAAAATGACAAAGATAGTATCAACCAGCTTATCAACTTATTTTCACATGTCATTTTTGATCTACAAACTGATACTTTACTTACACCTGTTATCCCTAATGCAACATAGTCCGCCGACCAGCATTCTGCAATCCATTCTGTCCTGGGCTTTCCTTCCTAGTTCTATTCAATTGTTGTTCATTCTTCTCATGTCTGTCTCCATTGCTCGGCAAAATGTGTTCTTCAGTCTTTCTCTCCACAGTAATTCATGATCACAGGCTGGAAAAAATGAATTTCTACAGAAACATTCATGAAGTAACTTGTCGTATTTCCTTATTCATATTGTACGTAGGACCGTTGCATACAACTTCTGGTTGCTCTTCATATAGTTCATCTAGTTGTTGTATGAGAATATCATTTCGATGGAGAATCTCAAACTTTGAGTAAAACTCACTCAACAGCCAATCTACTAATATTTAGTTATACGGTGAATTTTAGAATCTTAGAATTCATTTTCTAGACGTCACTGACATTGACGTTATTGTGAAAACCGTTCGTCGCGTATTTGCCTACATTATCCAATGTTGACAGCTTTTGTACTGAGCAAACTGCGTTTCCTTTCTTTTCATCTGTAATTTTCGAATGAATGGATCACATATCGTAAATCGTATGGAACATAAATGTCTGTTCATCATCTCGAAAGACTATATCACATACTAACTTCTGCGTAAAGTAACTCAAAGCATAGAGTCAAAACCCAGATATTTTGACTTACATTGTTAAATAATTACACATTCTTACAATTTTTAAATAATTGTGGGACTGCGTAAGGATCTCTCTATCGTAGACGTGGATTTAAAAACAATACATATGTTCTTTCATAGTTTAGTATGATTTTTCACCTCGCTGTGGAACGTAGTAAGAGAACTCTTATCTGTATTACTTACTTATTGGAAATCGTTGAAGCCTTGTTTGATTTCGTTTTAATTGTAGGAAGTTTGATCAAGCAATTGATGGTGAGAAAGAATGTTCAGGCCTACAGAAGTCCTATTAGAACTAATTTATGCAATCGTACTACTACTATTAGCCATAGATTAGAAGTATCAAACGCAATGTAGAAATTTTATTCAGCTCCTAAATGTAAACAGCAAACGATAGTTTAAAGGATTCATCAACAAAATAAGTTATACATGTAATCTGATGTTTCCAAATGCACGAATACCAGAAAAACAGGGAAGAAAACAATCTAACAGGCCACATCTTGGTATCAGATTGCAGAATGGCTGCAATCACCTCAGTCCTTCAATATCAATGAATCTAAAGTGATGTCATCTCAATCAGGGAATTACTTAACTTATACCATATAAAGCATGTATTAAGTATAGTAAGTATTAGGTAGTTGCACAAGTTTTGAATTAATTAAGTATGATGTTCCATGTTTCATATAAGATAATTAATCACTATCATATAAGTTAAAATGAAGTTTATAATAAGAGGAATACAGGTATACACAATCTAGTTATTGAATAGTTATAAAATAAGAATAAAGAATATAGAATATTAGTCCATTAACAGATCTCAGAAGTTACTCGTAATTCAATCTGCATTAGGATATGACAGGTTATTTAGTCACTCTGATGAAGTGGCTTACATTAAGTTACAAAACATCAGAAGTACAGTTTTCTACTCAGTGGGATATGAAAATATTTATTAACGATTGAATAGTTTCACACTTAACTTTTGTTTGAACTGAAGATACCAAGCAAGAGTTTTGTAAAAACAGCAGTATGGTTTGAGAATCTTCCTTATTTTATGTAGTATCCCGATTGATTTCCGATATTAATCATCATGAGTTTAATAGTGACTGACTTCAAGAGGTATTTCTTGGAGTTGTAGTGCGATGCAGTGACAATTGGAGTTCAACCAGGTCTGTTATGAGATATTAACTGACTGAAGACAATGGTGGACGGTGGCGCAATTTGGTGGATTGGTTGAAGTTAAACATTAACAATGTTGGATGCTGTCTGACTCAGTGGTCTACAAGAGAAACGTTCACACGCGATACCAATAGGTCCGAATTCCGAATCCCACAAACGGGCTCATGGATGCGTACTTCTGAAGAGTCCATTACTAGAATGAAACAGATGTCTAATGTTTTCAGGCTTTCCATGGTGGTCTAGTTTCAATTGACTCATGAATTAAACTACCAAATTACTGCAATCTCCACGAAACCCCATTCTAAAAAGTTTTTATTGACATTCAAAAGAAAATGAATATTTTCCAATTGAGTTATTCATGAAATTCAGTCACAATTTTTGTTTGTCACTAAAATCTATTAATGTGAGCAACATCAACAATTTCACACATTTTGTTTTGCTTATAAGGTTAACTATTACTTGGTTTATTAGTGTGTTTTTGTTCTATTGGCTACTGTTATATGATTTAGTATTCTTAGTTTATTCCCAACATATTAGTTACAGTCTCTTATACTAACACCCACTATTGGCTCGGCTTGGTATAATATTATGTTTTCCATTTTATTCGTGTGATGTGGTCTAATCTGCTTGCTCATAAACCACGTATGCCTAAGATATACGATTCATATAGCGAGGGCTGATATTTATGTTCAGAACTGAGAAGGCCAGGCGAGAAGCTAATATACAGAGGACTAATAAGTATTCACAGCTTACTCAAGGCTGATAGTGATTGACGTCATTGGTTATGCATAGGACAAGGTTATGGCAAGTCGTTATTCTGGTTAGTGACCTTGTCATATGATATCTGCATAAGAAATATCACTACGCCACACGAAACTGTAGTGAACAAGAGCACCAGTGGGGACAATCGAATGTATTTAACTCAAAATTACAGAACTTCGCAATAAAATCTAACAATTATAAAGTAAATGCTAAATTTGCAAAATGTCCATCGATTGTCTCGAAACCACTCATACTTCATTGTTCTTGCATTTTCTTACGAATCGCATTTTGTTTCCATTCTTTACTGTTCGATCCTCTTGTCGCTCTGCTTCCAGACCTTCTGTCTACGACTAACATCATATACTATTTATGTCAATATAATTAGCACGCACCACACAACTATCGCATGCCTCTGATATACTCGATTGTACACGAAATCTTGAACCGATGAATACTAGACCTCCACTGAAAACCCTATGAGCGATAGACGGCCATCTTGTCGTCGTACGTAGCCACGACTACACAATAGTGTTCCGAACCCAGAACTTCCCGTCTCGCACGCGAACGCCTAGCTTTTCGATCAGAGAGATTCTATCAAAAACTACTTGCGCTTATCTTTAACCAATCTATGTAATATTATGCCAGCTCTGTTGCGATTTTTAACCCTGTCACTTCCAATGTAGATGCATCCTGCAATTATTGGAGAGCAATCTACATCTGCGGTGAGCCTGTGTTTGTGACAACACGTATATCAGGACAAAATCATTCATCATGAAGTATAGTACAGACTTTTCATTTCTGAGACTAAGAGATTTTGTTTAGCACATGTTGAAGAAGTTTTTAGAAATACTTGTTCTTTACTCACAG